TTTCAAATTCCTTTAAAATGGCCAATCTTACAGTTTTTTATGTCATAGGAAAATATGAAGTATCCTTGAATCTTGACAAATAATTTTGAATTATGCAATATACTGGTCGGTCATGACCGACCCTATGATACCCTACACCAGTGATTATATTAAAAATTTAGATTATTTTTTAATAATAAAGTATTTCATTTCATTTTTAACTTTTATCAGAAATATACAATTTTTTTGACAAAAAAGGAATTTTCTAAAAGAGGGGTTACATGGTGGCGGGGGGGTTAATATGGTCCTATCCTTCAGTTATTTATGCAGAATCGTGATATTAGTGTTTATAAGTGAATTTTGACCATCAAGTCATTTTTTGAAGGGGAATTTGTATGGGGGATAGGGTCACATGAGGTCCGATCATTACGAAAATCAGACTTATATTAAACTAGGTTTTGTCGATTTTTGAAGTGATACAAGAATATTTAACATATTTATGAGCTCATAAGCACTATTCAAGGGGTATGGTTGTATGGGGGCTATACGAAATAATGGACCGATTTTAACCATTTTCAATAGGCTTGGGTCAAAGAGTGAAGAGTATGTGACAAATTTCATCAAATTATCTTGAAAATTGCGACATGTAGAGTGCGCACAAGGTTTACATGGACATACAGACGGACGGACATAGCAAAATCGACTCAGAAAGTGATTCTGAGGCGATTGGTATACTTTAAGGTGGGTGTAGGACCAATATTTTAAGGGTTAAAATTTTCCAACTCTGACACATTCTTATTGTTAATCGGCATAAGAAACCATGTGATCCTTACATTTTAGGTATAAAATGTGTTCAACAAATTTATGTAAAATATTATGGAAAGAATTTTTGTAGAATATGTTAACCCTCCAACTCCTCAAGGTCTTATTTGTACTTCTTAAAAAATGGGCAAAAACACTATTAAAACCGGAATTTAAGGAGTTAAAATGTTCTGCAAAAATATTCTCCGTACTATAAGTGCCTGAATACATCAATATCGAAAATGCAAACAGAAAGTCATTAATAAGACACAACAAAAGAGAGCTTAGGAGATATTCGCATTTCAAAACAATTTTTTAATGGTTTTTAACTACTCTACCGCAGTTTTTTGATAACAGGGGGTCTAAATATTTCCCGATTTATTTTCCGATCGCTTAACCACAAAATTATTTATTAAACAGTGAAAGAATGGTTTAAAAATTATGATTGAATTCAAAGTAATATGCATTTTAATATAAAAAATCCGAAACAAGGCTATTTTTTAATAGTACTTCTTTTTAATTTATCTAAAAAATTTCTAAGAAGATGTATAAAGAATTTATATTTTTTGAAAAGTTAACTTTACATGAAATATTATAAATGGAAAACAGTTTCGAAAATTTTGATACCGATGTAGACTTTCAAAACGCCTATACACGTGTCATTTGTTTTTCTCTCCTCTATCAAAATTGTAATTTTGGAAAAAATTTTATTTTGTTGTATAGTGTCATTACTCCCTTTTATTTCATATTTTTCATACCAAATTTCATTCAAATGTATTTCTTCTCGAAATGTGAAAATCCGTACTATCTTCAATTTTTATAAAGATAATATGAAAAAACTAATTTGAAAACTTATAGAAATTTTTCGTTTTTATATGATCAGACAACTGAACACACTTTTAAGATCGAATCCAAACTTCGATTAATTTCACAATACTGAACGAAGTTGAGCATCATTATAAAGAATTCTATATAATAGATGTTCTTAATTATGAAAATTTCAGATTTTGACCGAAAAAATTTAAATAACAAAGATCCTAAATAGAACTAACCAAAATATACATACAACAGTAAAACTTTAAAATGCAAAAATATTCTAAAGAATAATAAAAAAGAAACACATTAAAATAAACTAATGGAAATGGAAAGCACAAAACATAAATTACTTAAATTTTTATACAGAATTTTGTTTGCAGCTTTCAATGAAAAAAAAAATATACAAATAAATTTAAAAAACACGATATACAGAATCTATTCCCATTTATTTAGATGAGATTTTAATGACTTTCAACGAGGGGAGTAAAGAAATTAAGTGAAGTGTGGTGGTGTAGTGGAGGCGGAGGGGAGAGTGGTATGTTTTTTTTTAACAATATGATTATTTACGAGTTCATACTAAACAAAAAATATAAAAAAAATTAAATAAATTCATTTACACATAAATATAGAGTATGAAATATTAATAACATTTAAATGGTTAAATTGCGAACAACAAAATGGAAAAAACATAAATAAAAGAAATAAATAATAAAAATTCTAAACTTTTATGGTGAGAACATGTGTATGTGTGGAAACGGAAGTCGTGGCAAAAAGGAAAAAATACACAAATACAAATGAAAGTTTCAGTTCATTTTATTCAAAAGATTATTATTTTTTTTCATTTATTTTATGTTTATACAACGCATTTTTAAGTTATATTCTTTTATATGTTGGCTGTATAAATTAATGCAAAATGTGTATGAGTTAAAAAACAATTAGCACTCTAAAAAACAACACGGATTAAGATTTTTATGTTTGAAATGGATTAAAAACATAAATGACATCAAAGGAAATAAAGAAAAAACATAAACACATACAATAAACATGATGGTGGCATGTACATACAGACATGTATATGTACATTTTAATACATACATATGTTGGCACTATATATGTAAAAGTACACGTGTAGTAGGTATGTATTATGTAAGTAAATATATGGTAAGTAAATGGTTAAATGAGAACAAACATGTAAAACATACACGCATTGTCACACATACAAATAATTTGTATTAAACAAAAAAAAAAAAAACGCAGACACACATAGACAGACATAAAAAATTACATACATACATACATACATACATACAAATTAGTAACAGTTATAAATATTTATATACAAAAATACATATTTATATGAATATTTGTAAATATGCATGTATGGGTTCAAACATTTATAAGCGCATACATACATATACACAAATATTCAGTGCACAGCAAGTGACAATTTAATGGAATCCTGGAGAAATTTAAAATTTCTTGTCTAATTATATATTTGTTTTGTTTCAATCCCTAACAGTTGTTGGTATGTTAAATTTTATTTTACAAAAAAAGTTGCTCTATTCCATTTCTACAGCTTCTAAAAAATGAAATCTTCTTTTGGAAATTAAAAATATGATTTCCATACTATTGAATCAAACTTAAACAATAAATTAAAAATTGGTTTGAACGTAAACTATCGGTTGAAATATTCACGAGTTATTAAACAGTCTTTCCTAGACAGAGGATAAAATAATATACACCCCTGGTACCAAATTGACACCAAATTTTTCAATAACATCCGTTGTCAAGTATATACATACAACAACATGTATGTAGACCACTCAACTTGGTCAACATTGCAACAATTCATTGTCGCAATCTAAACTTTATGCACATCCGTTGTCCAAATATTAACAAACGTGGTAAACTGAATATTTGCAACGCATTTTGAGCTTACGACGTTTGTTAACTTTAAGACAACGGATGTGCATAAAGTTTAGATTGCGACAACGAACGGAATGCATAACGTTTAGATTGTTGCAAAGTTGACAAAGTTGCGTAGTCTACATTACATATTCTTGTTGTATGTATGCATATACCTGACAACGTATGTTATTGAAAAATTTGGTGTCAATTTGGTACCAGGCGTGTATATTTTTTTCCTCTGTGTACACGGCAGGCTTTAGGGGTAATGATTATAAAAAGTAATTCATTACATGAACAATTACGATTACTAGTAATGTGTAACCAGGGAGCAGTGATTACACAAAGTACTTAATTCTTTACATGGTCAATTACAATTACTTGTAATGTGTAATTAAGCAATAACCAATTAAAATTCCTTGTATATAATTACAAAAAATTGTAATTGAGAAATAACCAATTACAATTATTTGTACTTGAAGTTTTGCCAATTACAATTACGTGTAATGTGTAACTGAAAATAAGCATTTATAATTACATGTAATTTTAATTGAAGTTTTGCCAATTACTAAAATTTACTTATTACAATTATATGTATTTATAAGAGGGAAATTTAAAATTACAAGTAATTGTAATTGGAAATTTTTCAATTACAATTAATTGTAGTAATTGGTAAAACTTCAATTACAAATTCAAGTATGCAATTGTAATTAGTTATTACTCAGTTACACATTACAAATAATTGGATTGACAAAACTTCAATTTCAATAACAAATAATCAATAACAACTAGTAATTGGAATTGATCATGTGTTGAATTACTTTATGTAATTAAAATGTAGATGGGTTAGAAATTATAGTCGGCATTCTCGAGCGTTTGATTTTATACACCAGGTTACTACTATTGGAAAGTAGGCCAGACACAAATTTGCTGCTATTGGTACTAGCAAACATTGTAGGTGTAGATAGCTATTTCTTCATTGTTTCCAAAAAAATAAATTTCTTTAGTTTTTTTTTCAAAATAGGACCGTTTTTTCTCAAAAGAATTTCTTTCAGGGCTTTATAGTCCCATAATGGGATGCGAGTCGGATATCAAAAAATATTTTATCAATATTTTGCACTTAAATTTTACCTATTTTTTTTTTTTTCAAAATGGACATTTTTGTTCTTTTTTTTTTTGCTCAACGAAAATTGCATTCCTTTATGAGCATTGTGGTCAGTGAGTGGTCCGATTTTTTGAGATGCGACACTTGACATGAAATCCCCCCATATGTATGTAGATACATAGATCCTTCTATGCGTGGTTTCACAACCAATTCGTTCTATATTTCCGTTAAAAGTATTAATTTTGAATACTCCCACTATTTAAAAATATTTAAATAAATCCTGAATAAATTTTTACTCCATTAAATACCATTGAATTGTCACTCACTGTTTATATAATGGTGTTAAACATTTCTTTTATTTGTTTTCTACTAAATTGCTTCTAAAACAACATACCTGTGGTGTCTGGGGCTGTGAAACGGGCGAAGGTGTTGCTGTTGAAATCTGAGGTGATGTTCCTGCTGCCGACGGCGATGTGGGTGATGTTGGTGCGTTACCCGTTGATGGTGCCGGTTGTATGGCTGGATTTGTATCTAGTGTATGCTTTGATATAACAACCGTTGTAGTCTTTTGTATTTTATCCTGATCATGATGTTCGGATGGTGATTTGGGTGGTACGGAAGTAAATGCATCAGCAGCTCGTACAATTTCCAAAACCTTGAGAAGTAAAGTAAATATTGCAAAAAAAAAAATTAATTTCTATTCAATTTATAGTTAGCTTAGCATTGCATTTATTCTCTTTTGGTATTGACTCAACTTAGTAACACCACAAAAAGTATTTTTTTTATTCTTTTAGGATGTTTTAGTTTTCTTTGGATAAAAGTTACATTTTGTTTTACACTTTGCTGTTGTTTCCTACGCACTCGTATACAACAAATTTTACACCGAAAATTCTTAAATAAATTTAAAATCTTTTAACAGGTGTGGGACAAAACAGATTAATTTCGAAACAAGGTGATATGCAAAAATAATTGGAATATTAGAAATCAAACGAAAAAATTTGAAAGGTTTTTAAAAATCTTGCTTGAGATTCTCTTAAAATTATTTATATTTCCTGTAATACGATATTATTGTTTTAAATTCGATTAAAGAATTAAGTTTAAGAAGAAATATATAAATTAGTTCTTAACTGTGATGAAAACTTTTAAATTTATAACACAGACGTGCCAAAGGTTATTTACTTCTGTTAAAAAGGTAAATAGTTTTTAAAAATGTAAAACTTCTTCTAGAAATCCTAAAATAGAATAAACAAACCGTTAGACATTACAAGCACTAAAAAAGAGGAAACGTTTGGCAAAGCAAGATAACACTGAAAAAATAAAAGATGATACTACAGCAAACACTTAAACTACACGTACAACATATGGTGGGGTACTTGTACTACCAATACCATGAATGGAATGGTGCTGCTAAAGCTAACAGCCAAAAACTTTTCAAAAGGACTGTTGTACTTGTAATTGTGTAGTGCGAGTACGAAGAACACTGTAAGCAGTTGTCCTTACACACAAACACAGACTTTTACAAATATGTACACTTACTTTTTCAGGGGTACTCTTTTCTTTAGTGGAAGCCAAGGACTGTTCTGTATTGTGAGCCAAAGCAACAGCAGTGGCAGCAGCAACATCATGTTGCTGCTGATGATGATGTTGTTGTGCTGTATTTAAACCATCTGTAGGTTTAACTACCGGAATTGTTGCTGTTGGTGCTGATGTTGCTGCCTGTGCTGTTGTTGTTGTTGAGGTGGGTGAATGAGCCATGGCAGCAACGTTGGCTAACACTGACGTGGGTTGTTCGTTACTTTGTTCAGCAAAAACTTCCAAATCCTTTAAATAAACAATACAGAAGAAGAGTCAGGCATCAGACAACATACATTAAGACAAGCCAGAGCAACGAGTATATTGGATAAATGTAAAGAAAACAAGTAAAAAAAAGCATAAATAAATATTAGAAAAGCATTAAATTTAAATTTGAATACTTTTTCACAATTTAATTTTTTATATTCAATAATTGGATGGTTACACTTTGGAAATAGGTATTTGTTAAAAAAAATCAATATTTATATTGATTTTAAGGATTTTTTGTAACAAGAAATTTTGTTTTTAATTTATTGTTTTTTTTAGCATTATCTTTTATAAATTTACATTTAGCGATTAATGTTATGTTCTTAATTTATAAATCTTACATGTTTTAAGCGTTCGTCATCATCACGATCTAAACTGGATGTACTTTGACTTTGGCTTATTTCGGAACCAGTTTCAGAAGCACGAGAGCCTGAAAAAGTTATGAAAAATATGATTAATTTGAGTAAAAACTGACAAGATCAACTAAACAATTTTAAAGATAAGGAATTGGAGGCATTAATCCATGAATTTTGTTGTTAAACTTAAGAAGAACTTTCAAAATAAGCCACTAACGCTGTAATTTGAAAGCGTTCGTGAGCAATAGGATTTATCCGAAATAAATAAATTGGTTATTATACGTGTGTCAAAAAAAAAAAAAAAAAAACAAACTCATTATAAGGAGTGAGATCGAAAAATTCTTAACAATTCATACAAATTTCAATAAAAACGAAAAAATATTTTTTTAGTTTTATTCACTAGTGATGAAATTTTGAACCTTTTTCGGAAACCCTTCTATAAACGTTGTTATAGTGCTTTCTGCCACTTTGCTCGATTCCATCTCCGTTTGAAATCTACCACAATTTTGGACACCTATTTTACGCTCTTCAATTCTCTTTTAACAAGAGCCCAATATCCCTCCACTGGTCTTTTTTCCGTGCAGTTTGGAGGATTTGCCTCTCTTGGTACAAATATCACATTATTGTTCTTGTACCACTCAAGGGCTTGTTTACCATAGTGACAGGATGCCAAGTCAGGCCAAAAATATATAGACACATTATGAAGTCTCATGAATGGAAGCAGCGTTTTTAGTAAACATTCCTTGATGTAAATTTCGGTATTTATAGAGCCTGTTGTAACAAATGATTGGCTTCTTTTGCCGCAACTGCATAATACTTGCAATACCAAGAACTTTTTTGGAAATTTTGTCTGCTTTTGGGTCCTAAACTTTTCTTCAACATTCCCTCGAGCATCAGCAACATAAAATTTTTGACCTGGAATTTGAGGAAAATCCGCCAGAACATACATTTCGTCATCCATTATGCAGCAAGAATATTTTTTATAAAACGTGACTTCAATTTCTGTGTTTTGGTTTTGGCCTCTAAATTTTAAGCAGCGTTCCTGTCAGGAACTTTTTGAGACTTGTATGTTTTTGAACCTGCATTATCTTTAACTTTTCTTACCAAATAGTCCGAGCACTGAGTTAACCGGGCTGCTTTCCTACCGGATATGTTTGGAGCACTTTTGAAAATGCTTTCAATTTTTTGGCTTTAGAAAATCATGTGGATCATTCCATCTACCTGAACCAGGTTTTCTATCTACGGACAAGTTCTCCCGGTACTGTTTAATAACATTGGAAACAGTTTGACGGCAGGCACTTTTTTCAGGTCACTCACTTTAATCAGATTAACAACAAGTTAATATAATTGATATTAATTAAAGTTTTAATGAAAAACGTGTGTTAAAAATTTTTCGATCTCACTCCTTATTTGAATTCGATATTCGTTTCTTTCGAGTATTCTCATGTCTTGGAATCAATATTAATTGGACAAAGTACCGTTTGAGTAAGATCCGGAAATAAATGCGATGAAATTTTTAGCGATCAATCAAAAATACTAAAGATACAAAACATTTACTATAAGTTTAATAAAATATAAAATTGCAGCAAAATTAATGATGCTTTTAAAGTACTTTTATGTTCTACAATATAAAATATCTAAAATTTATTTTTAATAAAAGAAAATGTTTCAACAACTACTTTTATCATTCCAGCATAAAATGTATCCTTAAAATGCTTTCTTTGTGTTGTTTTTAACAATTTACATTTATTAGAAAAAATCAGAAAGAAAATAACTGAAATGTAGGAGGAAAAATTGAAACCAACATTGAAAACAAAAGAATAAAATCACAATCTTGCATTATAGTAAACTATCTATGTATCAAGCTATTCTACGTATATATGTATAAGTAATCTGTATCGTAATTGTATCTGTCTGCTAGTATATGTATAAGTAAGTATTATCTAGTAAAATATAATACTTTTAAAAAACAATCTTTAAGAGTACCAACAACGAATAATACTACATATAATATTTTTCATGTTCTTTATAAAAATTATACTTTTTATCAAGATCGTTCTTCGTTGTTATTAAGTATTGGTGTTGTACGGATAGATGGATTTTAATTTTGTTTTTATTTAAAAAAAAATTTGAAGTTGTTGTTGATGTTTTTATTATAGCTGTTTGCTACTTACCATGTCTGCTGTAGCCAGTACTCATGCCACCAGCTGTACCAATGGAATGAATTAAATTGGATTTATCGTATCCCTTACAAACGACCAAATGTATATCGTTTCCAGCATTGCGTAAAACATTAACTGCATCTTGATGTGTGGCACCCAATAAGGAGTTACCATTCACTTCTAACAAACGCATGCCAACCTAAAATTTGCAAATATAAAGAAAAGATAAAAAGGGATTATAAATAAATAAAAATAATATTTAAGTAACAACAAAAAAAGTGTGAAAGAAAAAAGTTATTTCGTATTTTGATTTCAACTAAAATCGCTGTAGGGGGGTATAAATATTAAACAGTAGAACAATATATGTATTTGGATTAATTTTATATTGCTGGTAGTATTGGCAGTTTTTATTTAAATTGGCTTCAGGACGTCCAAGTGGTAACCATGAGGAAAAATCATCTAATGTTTTCAAACTGAGATAATATTAAATAAAGAAAGTCGTTCGATTGAAGCAAATCCATAATTTTAAAGTCGTATTTAAAAAACACTTTCGGATTTGGCTGTTCATATGATAACTACGAAGCAAAATCAATTGGGCTCTTGTTACAAAGATAATACAAAACGCAGTAGTAATGTCTTCCTTACTTTATCTCTCATCGATCTCAAATGATATTAAACTCTCAAATAAATAAAACATCAGATGACAAAAGGATACATCAAGCGAGCTTTAAATTTCGTAGAATTTTATCATCAACTTTGGTTTGCGATGTGAGATATATTTTAACAGATATATTGATATCTAGGTCTAAAATACGTCTGAATAAGAAAATATTAATAAAAATATTTTTATTTTAGTTGTAAAATGTATTACGAAATAACTTTTTCCCCCACATCACATGAACAAATCAAATATTTAAATATCATTGAAATCCTGTAAGCATTGTACTCGTAGTATAGAGTAGTTCCACTTGTATTTGAGTTTACTAAAGAGTTTATCAAGTTTCTATGGATTTCCTTTTTAAAGAAACAAGTAATGCATCTTCTCTAACGTCATTTTCATCGTCTTCAATTTCATCACATTTGTTTTGTGTATTTTTTTCTTTTTTTTATAGAAAAACAAGATTTTACTAGTTGTAGTATTTGAAATCATTATAGTTCATTGTCTCTAAAAGCCCCGGGGAAATGTAAGAATGGTATGAGATGAAGTAAGAGATTGATATTCAAATCAAGTAAGAATAGACAACAAGAAAAAAAAACTAGTTAGATTCTTAGGGTAGACAAAATATGCTCGTTTATGAAGGAAAATATATTTTGAAATTTTCTAGATTTTAATACTCAGGTGGTTAAATTCTGTTCATGTTTGTTTACGTTATTTTGTTCTTGTTGTCATAGAACTAACGATTACTGGTCGGTAGACGTCTCAGAAAGAAAATCACAAATTTAATCCAATACAATTGATATTATAGTAGATAGTTGAACTTTTGTTAAAAATATTATTGGAAAATAAATAAAAACGTGTGGATGGATTTTTATTTAAAATAATTTTTATATCCACCATGAAAAAAGATGGGGGGGGGGGTGTATACTGATTTTGTCATTCCGTTTGTAACACATCGAAATATTGATCATAGACCCATAAAAGTACATATATTCTGGGTCCTTATTAAATTCTTAGACGATCTAGCCATCTCTGTCTGTCCGTCTGTCTGTTGAGAGCACGATAGAGTCCGAATGGAAAGACCTAGATAGTTGAAAATGTCCACAAATATTTCTTATAGCTAAGATTTGTTTGGTATTAAAAATGGGCAACGGTCCACGTTTTCGCATAGCCCCCATACAAGTGGCCCCTCGAAAAACAGCTTTAACAGTCATAACTGTTTTAAAGATGTGAATATAGCGATGAAATTCGACATAAATTAGTTTTATATCAGCCAAATTCTCTCTACCAAATAAGAATGGGTCCACAATTGACCCTACCCTCACATATGGTCCCCTTCAAAAAATGACTTTCACGCCTATTACTGGCTTAAAAATACGAGACTACCGCTAAAATTCGATATAAGTTAGTTTCTTACGAGCAACAATCTATCTAAGGAATTTTATGAGGATCTTACCCTACCCCCCCTTACGAACACAAATCAATCTAGCGAATTTTATGACAATCTGTCCATAATTGCCTTAAGCCCTATTTTAAATATCAACCTAATGTTTATAGTTGAGCATTCAATTTGCGGCATACGGTTTGATGGTGAGTATATAAGATTCGGCATAGTCGAATATAACACTCTTTCTTGCTTTCTTCATTCGCTAGAGATTAAAAATAAAATCCGCACTAAAAAAATTAGAAAATAATACACACATAATTTATGTTCGTTACATATTTCGGGAAATTGAATAGTACTTTCTGTTGTAAGGAATTAAATGAACAAGCGTCATCTTTACAGTTTTGTGCCTTTATACCTCACTAGCATACCCTGGGTGCTTCGCTACTCTAACCAAAATTAAATACATACAAAATTTTGTTTACTTTTATAGAAAATTGAAATTGATTTAAACATTTTTTAATATTTTAATTTTTTACGTTCAATATCAAGTGAATAAATTCGCACTCAGGAAGAAGCTTGTATTTTTAGTTTTATTCGTTTAGCTTCCACATTATAGAAAATTTCGAAATTACTATTTGAAAAAAGTACTATAAAATACCTCTTATAGATTCTCATTTAATCAAAAATTTAATGTTTCTGTTTTCAATATTATAGACAATTCAAAAAATATAATTTGATGAATGAAAAAGTACCTAAAGTCCCCTTCAGTAGATTCTCATTCACAAAGGTTCCTAGATTTTAAATTTTATATTCAATAACGTAAAAATATAAAAAATTACCATCGGAATAACGAAAAAGTACAAAAATCTCTCTTAATAAATTCTCATTTAATAAGGACCGTGTGTTCCGGTCAGTGTTGCCATAACGGCATTTAAAGTGCAATTCTAGCACTTTTTTTTCGTCGGCTGCACTTATTTTTTAGAAAAAAGTGCTAGATGCTTTTTAGCACTTTTTCGTCTTTTGCTAGAAATTTTTAGCATTAAAAGTGCATTTTCGTAATTTTTTCTTCTATTTTGCACTTCTTTATAATTAAAGAACTTTAAAGTTTAATTTCTCTAGAGATCTGTAAAAATTTAGTTTTGAGATGTGAAATTTTAAGAAATTCTCACGAAAACTTTTTGTATATGTTTATTGTAATTTATAATTTACACTATAAATTAAACTAAGAAGTGAATTATTTTAAATATTATTATGCAATAATCGTAGCAAATATTTGAAAAAATAAGCTAAAAGAGCGTTGTTTTGTTAACAATGTAGTGACTACATGTTAAAACGGCTAATATTTTCCAAAAACATTTTTTTGAAAAAAAAAAAAAAAAAAAAATCATTAAAATTTAAAATATACAATAAAATAAAAATGTGTGAAGATATAAAAACAGGTAAAAGTTCAGGAATGCCGAATATTACATACGCACCAACACAAGACGTTTTGCCAAGATTTGCTCATTTATTAGATTTATGCTCAAATTTTATATCGTGTATCGATTTTATTTTCGGAATAGGATCTTAATGGCTTGGATCACGGACCGAGCTCTAAGAAGGATGTTTTAAAACAAATCATTTTTTCGAATGTATCATAATACTAAAATGTTTTAATAATTTATTGAGAATAAATTTATTTTCTGAAAGAGGATTTATATAGAGGAGAAATTACAAACTTGCGTATTTGAATATAACACACATAATTCATTTGTCACATTAACATTTATATTGTCCCCTAAAAGCTCTTAGAAGTGTGAGTAATAAACCTCTATTCACCGAGATTTAAGATTATTTCAACTGAATTTTCAATATTTTTGCAATAAAAATACCTTTGCTAAAGTGTTGTGAATATGACCCATAAAATTGTTTATATAAAAAATAACTAAAACTATAAATATAAACATTTTTCTTCCGAATTTAACCCTCTTTTAGCATTTTTTAATGAATAATTAAAAGATTTGACGTCCTAGATTTTTTAAATACATACTTTTTCTGGTCTTAGACGTCCTAAACAAAGAAAACCATATAGGTTTTATATCTTAAACAGAATCGTTGTTACCTAGTGTTATTAGTTATTTAATATACATATATATGTATATACTTATTCTTAGGGGCATTAAACAAATTTTCGAACAGGTTTTGTACCTTACCCTTTCCGATTTTGATAAAACTTGGTACACACATTCCTTGTATCAATACGAAGTTTAAAGTTCTTCAAAATTCATTACGGGTTAGATTTTATCAAGGTTCATAGTTCAGATTTTTTTCAACAAGCATTAAATTTGACATCGTATATTTTATAAAATATTTATCGTTGTAATTCCTAATTTGTTGATTCAAACGTTAAGTTTTTTAATCGTGTTAGTTATATTTGGTGTGAGTTTTTTTTACTAACACAATCAAAAATTTACAGTTTGAGTCAACAAATTTGATGTGTGGCCATTTCGCTTAAGGATGATGACATCAAACAATGTCCTTTAATCAATGATATCTCAAAAAGTGTACCTTATATTTTCTTTATTCCTTCACATAAGATTGCTTATAGTGTTTTCAATAAAATATAAAAATTTCAGAATGGGACAATGAGGGGCTCTCAAGTAAATCAACTTATATTTTTTGTTCATAAACAATTTAATTTTTTTTGTTTCAAATTTTGTTTCAAATTCTTAAACTTTTTTGTGTTCATCATCAAATAAAACATTAAATTTTTAAATATCTTGAATATTATCAAGCTACAAGACATAGGCTTTCATTGGGAACTAAAACGATTAAAATCGGATAAACAGTTCAGAAAATATACGATGTAAAATGCTTGTTGAAAAAAATAAAAAAAAATATATAAAATTTAAACATCGATAAAATAACGAATTTGAAAATTTTGGAGAACTTTAAATTCCGTATTTACATGAAGAATGTGTGTACCGAATTTCATCGAAATCGGGCAGGGTCATGTTCAAAATCCTACTTTTTTGTTCGAATTTTTTAATTACCCCTTATCGATTTTGTAAAGGGATATTTATATAGGCAAGGTCAAATCATGGACCAATTATGTGAAAAATTGCGACCTGTACATTATACCTGGACAGCCAGCCGCACAGACCGGTAAACATGGCTTAATGGACTTTTAAAAACTTGATTTGAATTTAGCACTTTTTTCAAATAATTTGCACTTTAACAACATTATTCAGTCAAGACCATGTATGTTAAAATTAATGTTCCTAGGTTGAATATTTTAGAAAATTAAAAAAGTACAATTTATGAGATAAATAGTACTAAAAAGTTGTCTCTTAAAGAATCATATTCAATGAGGACCGTGTATGTTTAATAATCATGTGTTTTGAGTTCATATTAAAGAACATACATTAAGTATCATTTGAAGGAAGAAAAAGTACCAAAAGTGGAAAGTACTAATAAAAAGAGTACAATGTTTCCCCTTTTCGCTTAGAAATATACTTTTTCGAGAATTAAGTTTACAAAATGTTCCGTATTTAAATCTACACAATCGGACAAAATAAAGTGCAAAAGTGCTCATGCTACATTATTTTATCGAAAAATCTGTTAAATGATTATTGAATATGGAACTTTTTTTTTAAATTCATTTAGTTTATATACAATGCTACAAAAATAACTATAAAACAAATTTATTCCACCTAAAATTTTTCTGTATAACATTTAAAATTAAAGTAAATTCACTTTTTTGTCGGACAAAATAAAGTGTAAATTTTATATATCATTATTTTAATTTTATGCATATCAAAATTTTTTATCTATTTTGGTTCTGATTTGAATATCTGGATCTACTCAAGTCATTTTTGTAATTATTTTACCATTATTATTCGCAATCGCTTTCACTTTCCCTTGCTTTCTCCCATACTATTATTTTCAAAAGAAATTCCTTTTTGTTCGCTATTTCAGCGGAATTTTGTGATCAATTGTGGTCAAATATTAATCTATTAGATTTAGGGCGATGCTCTGAGCAGGTCATTCAAATTTTTCAGTGTTTTTTTTTTACAATAATGTTTTTAACCTTAGTCGTGTGTTTGAAGTCATGAATCGGTTGAGGCATTAAGTCTCCCAAACCCATTTTTACGGCATTTATTTCCAAATTATTATTAAATAAGCTCGTGAATTGCTCATTTGTTATTAGTTACTCCATTTTCACTAAGATTCTCGCTCTTAAAGTTAAATAATGTAACAATACCGATAGCCCTCCACCATAATATTTGAAACCTGGGGTATTGTTTTTTAAATTTTGTATATTGAAGGGCTTAATTCACACTCATTGTCGACATTTCAAAATTTTCGGTAGAAATTGGGACTCATCTGACCAACTACGTAAATTTGATCTAAAAAATATGAAATTAAATACTAAAATCGAAAAAAAATTTTAAGCTTTTAAATATGTTGGTGAAAGATTGAAGGTATGGGTCAGTTGACTCTTCGTAAGTGTCCAATTTTTAACGTTAGGTGTGGGGAACCTAGGTGAAATTTATTCAAAAAGCTCCAATGAACACTATATGAGCATATTGCAGTGAAATCTTAAGATCAGTGCCTTCGAAATGGACTTGGGCAACTTTATATTTCGGCAAGATAATAAGCTTAAGCACTTGATAAAGTTAAAAAATAACATTACTGTAGGAAAAATCACTGAAAATTGAAATAAGTTGCTCAGAGCACCGCCCTAAATCCAATAGATTAATTTTGGACCACAATTTATCAAAAAAATTCCGATGAAATAGTGATCAAAAACGTATTTCTTTTGAAAATTATCATATGGGGATAGCAAGGGGAAGGGAAAGCGATTGCGAATAATAATGGAGAACAAAATTACCAAAATGGCTTAAATAGATACAGATATTAAAATCAGAACCAAAATAGATAAAAAATTTTGATATACAAGAAATTTAAATAATGATATATAAAATTTACACTTTATTTTGTCCGACAAAAAAGTGAATTTATTTTAATTTTAGATGTTATGCAGAAAAATTTTAAGTAGAATAATTTAGTTTTATTGTTATTTTTGTAGCATTGTATATAAACTAAATGATTTTGAAAAAAAATCCATATTCAATAATCATTTAACCGATTTTTCGCTGAAAGAATATACATGAGTACTTTTGCACTTTATTTTGTCCGATAGTGTATATATCACAGATAAAACTCAAACGATTCAAATCTGCATTCATTTGCTCCAGAAAAATTTTGCTTTCAAAAAGGTACCGAACAATTTACTCGAATTTAGTCCTAAATAGGCCTTAGTACTCGAATTCCAAAATAATATACTAATAATAGCTTATTTTGTGTGAGTAAATAAACTACTTTTTGAAATTTTATAAAAATTGGCTCAATGAGTTTGAATAAAATTAAATTTCCCGTTTTTCCCTTTTTGGTACTTTTTTCCCAAGTGAAATAGCAAAAATTTTATTAGAATAAATATTACAGAGTTAGTCCGTAATTTAATAGGAATACTTGAATAAATCAAAAAAGTTTTCTTAATGTGCTAAAAAAAGTACCATAAATACAGTTTTCTCCCTTTTACACCCAAAAAGGACTGAATTTTAAAAAAGTACGAAACAGGTGTCTTATAATTTTGGGAGTTGTTTCCAAAATATTTATAAAAATTTTATTATGTTAATTAGTTCAAAAGTTATAAAGGGCCGAAAAAGGTACCAAAATCACCTTTGTTACACATTTTTACCCCTTAAAAGTACGAATTTCAAAAAAGTACCAGACACCCATCTGCTTATTTTAAGAATATATACAGGTGCATTTAAAATTTTTCTTGTATCACTAATATTGTGTAAGATAATTAAGAAAACCTGTTTTACCCGTTTTTTCCCCTTTTTACCCATAAATGTACAAATTTCTAAAAATCCCTCCTTAGTGGATCTACATAACTAAAAACACATCTACGGTCAAAATTTCATGATTCTAGGTTCAGCCGTTTGGGCTGTGCGATGATGAATCAGTCATTCAGTAACGCTACTCTTTTATATATATATAGATTACAGCTGGGGAGATATATATTCTGTGGTAGATGACTTATTTCATTTTTTTCCAAACTATTTGAATTATCCTTTGATATTATGATATGTTATAACCAGAATTTCTGAAAATACTAGGTATGTATATTTGTTTGCATTTCAATATACAAAATAACACAGCTTTCAAAAAATCAACTTTTCCTGTAAATTTTAAAGTTTACCCTTACATGCTGTTTATTTTATGGGGGAAAAAATAAAAAAACAAATATTTGTAAATATACATACATATTTAAACACCACTCAGCTTCCTTTTATTTTAAACAAAAAAATATTATGTTTCTGGTTTTGGTTGGTTTATTTTTTTACCAAAACTGTATTGTTTTTCGCTGTAATACAAACGAACAGAACTATTTCAAATTTTTAGTTTTTAAATTACCAACTGCTACGGTACTGCGTCAGCAACAGCTTAATTTTGAGAAAATTATTGTCTCCACTTTCTACCTGTAGAGAGATTCGAGCGACAGAACATAAAGTACATATATTGTCACAAACTTTAGCATTATAATAAAGCTGCAACAAAATACGATGGACAAACAAAACTATAAAGTCCTCTTCTAATATATAAGTACACAGTGGTAGGTCCATTGCAATTTCATACATATGTACATACATATTTATGTACATCTAACTGGCGTTTGAAACACTCATAGAAGAGCAACAACTGGCCAAAGGCATAAAATAAATATTTATTTAAGCCAAGTGAAACATAAATACACAACAACTACATTCGTTCATTTAACTGGAACAACAGTAGATTCATTCATATTCAACATCAGCAGCAGCAAGAACAATAGTAATATTTTTATTTTTTACTTACCTTAAGCCTTCCGTCACGTCTAGCAGCACCAACGGAATTTATTTTTGAAACAAATACACCTTCGTCTGTTGGATCGACTGGATTGCCACGCTGACCATTAAGGCCACCCTTAATGTGCATGCCAAGGCGTTCACCATCAGTTTTACTGATGATAATTTCCTGTGATTTATTTAAACGATATGAGAGAAGGAAACAAAAAAAGGAGGGAGAAAAGAAAAAAAAATAATGTTAGTTGTTCATCTTTATAACTATGCATAACTTTATATGTATGTATATTAAGATAAAAAAGAAAGTAATTAAATTGTTGGGTAAATTGATAAGTAACTGGGGTGGGTTATGCCTTTATTACACACATACTATGTATTCATATATCCTTACACTTTGCTGATAGCAGGTATGGGAGTATTGGTATACGCACAATTCGACGACGACGAATTTCGTATAGCACGATGAACTAGTCGACAAAAATTCGTTGCGTAAATTCGTCGAATGGAACACAATCAAATTATTCGTACTGCGAATTCGTTTCAAAATTTGTTTGTTCGAAATTGAAAAAAGTAAGAAAAAGAAACAAAAGTTATATTTTTGTTAATCTCCACGATTTTGAGATAATTTTAACAGCTTTAAAATTTATTTGAACATTATTTCGGAATTAGAAAATGTAAGAAATTGGCCTCGAAAAGAACTAAAATTATATTTTTGTGAATATACCCAATTTTGAGATTATTTCAACAGCTTCAAAAATTTTTCGAACATTGCTTCGAATTTTCGAAACTAATTTTAAATATTCCAACATAGCATTGTAGTGACATCAAGTGTACTCCAGACTGACAAATTTCAGACAATTCGGGACACGAGAACTGGTTTTAATGACTTTAAAAATTTTTCGAACTTAAGTTCGAATTTTCCAAAAATTTTTTTTTTAGTTTTTATGACCCAGAGATTATATTTGTTCCGAAAAATTCATCGTTCGTCCCAATTGTGCGTATACTATATAGACTACATTTTCAATTACAATTACATTTGAACTAATTGTAATTACAAGTAATTTTATTTGTTTATTGGTCAATTACACATTACAAGCAATTGTAATTTGAAAAACTTCACATTACAAGTAATTATAATTAACCATGTAATCAATTACTTTGTGTAATCATTACCCACCATACTTGGTTGATAGTTTCTTTGGATTAATTGTATTACATAAGCAAAGACATCTGATTTATACCCTGATCCAGTATCGTTTTCGAAATTGGGTCAATGAAACTAGCATCCAACCAAATTTATCACACTATATAAACCCACTGGCTTCTCTATAATAACGTGGGAAGTTTCCGATTGTCATGCGAGTCAATTGTGTATGTTGATATAGTCGACAATCGCAACATATTGTAAAAACGAGACTCCTGACAAAACTTGAAAAGAAACTCTTTCGCTATCTTGACGAGAAATGTTAAAGAAAAATTCTTACGGTCATTAAATTAAACATCATGTTAACATTTAATCAAGAAGTCATTCTATTTTCAAAAGCATGCAATTGAAACCTTTCTGAAATAATAAATATTCTCGATGTACCGAAAGATTAAATAGATAAGACATCTTTACTTTTATTCGACCTGGCGATTTATGGACTATGCCTATAAAAAATAAATTTTTTGGACGAACCTTAACTTAAATCAATAAGATATCGACGGGAACCCCTGATTTAAAGTAGTTACAACCACACTTCAGCTTTCGTAGATCAATTATATGCATGAATATATGGTTACTTATCAATTTACCAACTTGTTTACATTTACATTATAGAACACAATATTCATTTTAAATATTAACATTTACGTGCAAAATTATACTTTGAATAGCAACAAAAAAACTATATTTTAAAAATACTTAAACTTAAACTAATATACACTATGAACAAAATAAAGTTTTTCAATTATTAAGTAATTTAATTTCATAATTTTCTTTGAATTAAAACATCTTAATTTGTGCAAATTACAAAAAATAATTGTGTACGTTGGACGCGAAAAAATTTACAAGGTCATCTATTCCGAAGACCGCAAACTAAATTTAAACAAAAACATATTTATCCGATTTTCATAATTGACTCATATTTTCATATTTTAAATCAAGGATATCTTAAAAACAAGTAGGAAAGTATAGTCGGACATGGCTGACTATATGATACTCTACACCTTGGGTATATTTTGAAAATTATTTATTTTAAATAAAAACAATTTTATGTTGAATATTACCTTAATTCTTGATTGATTGATGAAAAACTACATTTCTAAAAGAGGCTTTATATGGGAGTTAGGATCAAATATAGGCCGATCCTCAAGAAATTGGGAAGAGAGATGTAATTTTATATAAAGAATAGGTTAAGTTGATAGGAGGATGTATACTACATCAAATCCGAAGAAATGCACCTAGGCCACTATCGGGCCTGTTGTGCGTTCCTTTATATAAAGGTTAGTTATGCTGAATTTCATCGCGATACTAATGGTCATAAGTAAATTTTTTGACGTATAAGTTATTTTTTAAGGGGGGGTTTGTATGGGAGCTAAGGTCGAACAACGGCCGATCATTATAAAAATTGGCTTTTATGCCTATATAAAACTTAGTTGTGCCAATTTTTGGTGAGATAGTATATTTGACGTAGTTATGAGTTAAAACCCCTAAATCGGAAGGTAAGTTGTATGTGGTCTAGGTGAAATAATGGGACGATTGCAACCATTTTCAATAGGCATCGTCCTTGTGGCAAAAAAACTCGTATGGTCCAAATTTTATCAAAATATATTGATATTTGTGGCTTGCTCACAAGGTTTACATGGACAGCCATCCAGCCAGCCGGACGGACGGACATGTTTTAATCGACTCAGAAAGAGATTCTGAGTCGATCGGTATACTTTAAGGTGGGTGTAGGACCAATATTTTTATGCGTTACAATCATCAGCACAAACGTATAATACCCTCCCCACTATGTATAGTGGTGTAGGGTATAAAAAGTATCATCCATTTTTATAACTCTTACACTAAAGAAAAAGTATAGTCGGGCATGACCGACCATATCTATTATTTTTAATAATATAGCATTCATGTTGAATTTTGCCTTAATTTCGAAATATTTTTGATGAAAAACTACGGTCAATTTAATTGAAATGCACGTGTTTTTAAGGGAATTAATGACGTTAAAGCGTATTCAGGAAGGGACTAGGGCCAAAAAAGGGCCGCTCATTACAAATTTTGCAGTCACGCCTATTTTTGTGTAATAATAATTTAGTATAATTGCCATAATTATGAGTCCCTAATCCCAATTCAGGGGGTCCGGTAATATGGGGGCTAGGGACCGATATCAACCAAAATCAATAGGGTTTGTCGTTGAGTCAAAAGAAATACTTGTAGCAAATTTCATTGCGACCTGTAGTTTAATTACAAGGTTTTATTATTATTATTATTTATATCGCCCATTTTTATTACTAGTTTGTAGAAAATTTCAAAACCCTAGTAGCTCCCTCCTTCCCTATCGTGATTTCAACATACGTATGGACATGACTATATCCACTTTGAATCATATAAAAACTCAGAATATACATACTTTTGTGTATCCGTTCAACTTTTACAAATCGTATCTGATTAATGAAAAAAATGTACACCCGAGAACCGGATTGAATTCGTTTACCAAAACGTGATGTCAACATATGACCAATCGATATACAAAAAACAATTCTTCTTGAAACAAACAATAAAATTATAAAACATCAAACAAACAAGCAACATCAATACTAAATACACCAATCGATTTGGGGAGAGGAAAGCTTGAACGGGATTTATAATTTGGGCATTTGGAAATGTGTTTAATTAGGCTTCTTACCTCAAAAGGTATATAATCTACTTGTATTTGCTTTAGTTTTTTTTTTGTAGTAGTGTAAAATAAATATAAATAAAAATGTATATATAATCAGTATTTTTATACATTTTGTAGATCAGGTGGTTATTTAATTAAATTGGCCAACAAAAAATAAATAAAGACAATTTTCAATGTTGAAACAAAAAGGAAAGAAAAAAGCATTAGTTAGCTGTTTTTTTAGAGTCTGTAGCAAGTCAGTTACAATAAAATTGCTAAAAGACACGTAGTGCAAATTGTTTGTATTATTTTTTTCAGTTTAAATATTTAAGCAGCATATGGATCTCTATATATCTTTAAAATTGAATCAAACTTAAAGTTCTTATTTTTTGTTTATTAAAAGTAGGTATTTGAAAATATTAAGCAAAAACTTAGAAACAAGACAAATAATAATAAAACTAAAAGCAAAAAGGAATTTAAAAGAAAATATCTATAGAGAAATATACCTGGAAACCAGCTGGTAATGGATCATGTTGTATTGTCAATTTAATTTCATTGCCCGGTTTAAGTAATTCCAACACTGCATCTTGATGAGTGGCACGTGAGACATCGGAATCGTTAACTTTTAAAATACGGTCACCCATACGCAATTTGCCACATTTTGCAGCAATACCACCTGGTACAATCTGCAAAAAAGGTAACAAAAAAGAAAGAGAAATTAAATTAGAAAATTTTACTGCTGCAAAAGAAAAAGGTAAAGTAGTTTTTCTTAAAAATAACACAGGCAATAACAACAAGTATAAAATTATCTTTTGAATGAAATTCTTTTCAAAAATAAGTAAAAGTTTATTTTTATTTAATTTTCAAAAACACAAATTCCTTCTTAACGAACAACAGCAAATAAACACCCACATCTAATTTAGAGTTGGCTTGTTTGTTTTTATCCTTTCCAGCATGTGGGTAGAAATAAGGATATCTAATATTTTTGTTTTTGTTTTAACTAAAAATATGTAACGATTTTTATGTTGAAGCTTTTTGCTGTTACTTTTGCTTTGTCCTTGTTGCTGCTACTGCTGCCCTTGCTACTCTGGCTGTTGATGATGTTGATGTTTTTTTATCGTTTATGTTGTGTTTACGGTTCACTGTAACACTAACTGCTTTATTAAGAGACATAAATTTTATACACTCTAAAAACTCATTAGTCTCGCATGTCACATCAGCCAACAACACCAAAAACAAACATTTCTTCTTTATTTAACGTTATTTATATTCGAATTGTTCTGTGGTGGCCAAACTTAATTGTATTGTTCAATTATAATTTTTTTTAAGCACATAAGATCGAATCGATAGATCCAAGTTTGAAGGGATTTAAAATGTCGCAGAGATCGTAATCAACCCTATTCTGCAATTCAATTCGAATGGAAAAACTTCTCCGTTTGGCAACTTTGGTATTCTGCATTTCGTTTCGAAGCTCCGTTACTAAAATAACAACGTACAAAAACGTAGTTACGATCCTAACAAATGCAGAATACATACAACCGTAAATCATTGAAATAAAATGGAATTGCTTTTTCTTCTTCTTACGATTCCGGTTTTTTTTTAATACCAATTTTCGATCGTAGCGGAAACGTAATCGAAATACAGAATATGGCGTCATGAAATAACTCCCCAAAACAAAAATAAAATAAATCCCTAAAAATTTGTTCAGAAAGCAAAAACAACGAAATTTGGGGATTTAATTAGTTTTTTTTTTTGGGCATTATTTCACATTTAAAAAGGGGAGTTATTTCATTATGACATAATTCCTCAAAATTCAAAAATGAAATAGGTCAATAAAAATATTTTTACTTTTATCACACGAAATTAAAAATATATGTATGATAGCCGGGCGAAGGGTTTTATCCTCTGGCGTACATTGAATACCGGCTTCGCTAAGAATACACTCTCCCTGTATCAAGAGTGTTCGGCTTTAGGCCGGTAATTTAGGAAATATTTACTAAGCGAAGACGGTGTTTTTCATATTATAGAGTATGAGCGACTTACTTTTTTAGAAATGTCACTAAAACCGACTTGTTCCATAATTCGTTATTTTTAAATTGGGACTTATTTCATTTTAAAATTAGGGATTTGTTTCATATGAAATAAATCCTCAAAAATGGGGTGTTATTTCATTTTAATTTAGGAAGTTATTTCATTTCGTTGGGGCTTTTTTCATTTTTAAATTGGGGAGTTATTTCATAATGAAATAAGTCCTCAAATTTGAGGATTTATTTCATTTTTGTTTTGGGGAGTTATTTTATATATATATATATATATATATATATATATATATATATATATATATATATATATATATATATATATATATATATATATATTAAGCCCTATATTGGAAACTGGAATTATATATTTGAACTGAAAACTGTAACATTCAAAAATCAAGGATTAATAGTTTTAATCTTAACTGATTTTACAATATATTTAGGGCTTTGTTAAATATGTTCTGGTACAAGGTTTTTGCTCCAGGATGTCATAACAACGTCATGATATTTTTGTGCATAATACAAAACATCCTTAGTAATGTAATTAGTAATGAGATATTTAAGTACTTATTTATCATTACCGTGTTAAAATAATTAGTTAAAAGGCTAATAAATAAGTAGTGAAAAGCGACTTTTTAACTTATTAAGTTTGTGTTCGGTAAGTAACGGTGTTGTGAGTAGGACAACGGACTAATGAACACAAGATCCAGATTCGTATTTTGAGGCTTTAATAGATTTTGTGTGTAAAAGAAAACAGCGTGGTAAGTACTTGCGTCTTATGTTATAGACGTGATAAAAAATTTATTAAAATGCCGATGAGTAAGTAGTAACAATTAGTTTAATAGCTCATTACTTTTCATTAAAAGTTTTTGTTGGGTTAGCCATCTCTGTTACCAAATTATTTGTGTTTCAGTAAAAATGACATAGTTACTACAGTCTATAGATTTCAAGTTAAAATATTTGTAATATCTAACTAAAAAACACTCACACCAACATACACACAGAGAAAAAATATTACTTTGCAACAAGAATTTAATGAAATTTATTTTATAATTTATAGGAGTGGAGTCAACATACGCACTTATTACAAATAAAAAACACAAATAAATATTAAAACAACAAAAAAAACTCTCGTGTCAAATAATCAAAAGAAACAAAAAATTTCATAAAAACTGAAACTGAAAAAATAACAAAAATATAAAGTACGAACTTTTGACATTAAATAAAGTAAAAGTTTTTCGTACAAATTAAACCAGTGAACGAACGAATTTCTTTTGCCAAAAGGTGAATGAAATGACTTGTTAAATTACGAAAATGTTGTGCAGACAAAAGTTCATTAAAGAAAATGCTAAAATAACAAAAAAAAGAAAGAAAGAAATGTTTGCAACAACAATGATACCAACAAATTAGTTTAAAACTTTATGACAACATACGAGGAGGAGCTCAATATACATTCGACTATAAATTTAAAGTTAGAATGAAAAGAAAATATGTTTGAAAAGACAAGTGTGAAATAGGTTTTAACTTTACACAAACAGGGTTATTCAATAAGGGTTAAGGAAACAAAGAAATATTTCATATAATAGTGGAAATTATTATAGAGCTGACAGCATATTAGTAAACTTTGGTAAAAAATTCGACTAAATATCAGAATCCCTCGGATGAACTAAATAAAATAACCCAATCAAACTAACCAAAATACTCAGACCTATTTTTATTAGTCTATATAATTTTCCATATGAAACATGAACTATATTACTTGCTGTAATCTTAACAGTCCTTGTTATGAGTCAATATAATAATGGAATTAAAAAACTGTTGCTTCAATTTCATTTCTACGAAGCTCTCCCCCTAAAATTGTTTGTTTAATTTGTTGCAACAACTTATAATTGCTTAAACAAACACTTATTTACACAACATACATACACTCACAAGTGAGTACTCATATATTCTCGAGATGTACGTAAGTGGCAAATTACCCAGCAAAAGTTCTGTTTGAAGCAGAACTTGTTTTAGAAAAGGCAAAAGTGTTTCCTTGAATGTCATTGAAGGTAGGATAAGTGTAAACATTAATATAATTTGTATAAAATTTATTTATTGCAAAATAACAAGAAATTATATAAAATAATTTTAGTACTAAGAATTTAATAGAAATAAAACCGCAAAAACAACTGGAACTACTTAAACTAAATAATTACACAGACAAACAAAATTTGAAAAAATCCAAAATCCAGAAAACAAACTATACTTTTCTAAAGGAATCCGAATCTGGTCTCTGAATTTAAAAATCACATCGTGTCCTGAAAATAAGATTTGGATTCAGCGCTACAAATGCATGAGTTTATTTTTGCAAAGAGTGAGTATTGAATATGTAAATTTGATTTATTCAGAATATCCATGCCCCAGGGTTGGGGGGTAATGACTGCATTTTCAATTACAATTACATTTGAAGTAATTGTAATTAAAGCTTTACCAATTACAGTTACTTGTAATTGAAGTTTTGCCAATTACAATTATTTGTAATTCTAATTGAAGTTTTGACAATTACAATTACTTGTAATGGTAATTGGACCAATTACAATTTCTTGTAATTGTAATTATAATTCTTGTAATTGTAATACAAATTCATTAAATACAATTACAATTTCTTGCAATTGTAATTAACGAATTTCAAATTATATGTAATTTGTAATTGGAAATACCTTAATTACAATTGCAAGTAATTTTAATTGGAAACTTCAATTACAAGTAATTGTAATTTTAAAAACTTCAATTACAATTACAAGTAATTTTAAAAACTTCAATTACAATACAAGTATTTGTAATTGGTTATTGCTCAATTACACATTACAAGTAATTGAAATTGACCATGTAATGAATTACTTTGTGTAATCATTACCCCCCATGCCTGCTATGCCTTATATAAGGTCGTACCAGAAGTCTCTATTGTGAGCCAATAGAAACCTATACAATCGATGCTAATATAAAAGTAGTGAAAAGTGCTTTATCAAGTTTTTAACTCACTGCTTTTCAAATTAAGTATTTGCTGGGTGCCTTATACAAATATTTCACACACATAAAATGTATACCCATTAAGACTAAGATACTTACATGTGATATAAAAATACCCGGCTCTCGAGCGCCAAAAGGAACACATGAATGATCGGTACCACCAATTATGCTGAAACCCAATGAACCCTGATTTTTAGGCAATATAACCTCCTGTAAATAAAATAAATTTAATATTTAAAATTCTGATTTTGCCATGTTTATTATTTAGAGCCAAATTCCAAAATAAAATTATTTACAAAAGTATGATTAAAAAAAAAATGATAATAATAAAAGCCACATAAAAATTAATAATTGATAAACCAAAAACCAATGACAGGAATGGGAACATATATTGGAAGGTGAGTGGAGACGATGTGTTGGTTATTTGATTGTTTTATTTTGTATGAAATCAAGTGCAATATGATGATAAATGATAAATTAAAATAAAATTAATTATATGTGACATTGTTTTTATGAATGGTGTGTTTATTAAATGAAATGTGAAAGTGCAGCTAATATTTAAAGAAAATGTAGAAATGCTTAAATAAACAAAATACTTAAAACAGGCAAAATATATATTTTTACTGCAAAGGTAAAAATTATACAAAATATTTACATTTTACAAATAGACATAAGGATGTAATAAACATAAATATTAGAGAAAAGGAAACCCATATAAACATACATACAATATACAATAACAATACATAATACATTAAAAATAATAAAAAATATAAAATAAATAAATAGAGAAATAAACAAATTCTTATTTTTAAAAAATACACTTTACATACATTTTTAGCAGAGAATGTAAAATAAGACAGACAAACACAAAACAAACAAAAAACAACAATAAAATAATAGAATATTTAATAAACCATGGTTGGCATAAAAACAAAAACAACAAATAAAGTAATAATAAAAATATCAAGCATTTGTTTTATACATGATAATAAAAATACTATAAAAAATATATAACAATAATTCTATTTACAATGATATTAAAAATAATTTTCCCTAGATGGCTCTCAAACGAGAATTCCATTTATGATTCTTAAGGAGGAATTGCATTTTTATACTCTTTCACAAATTGCTCTTTTTACTATTTTTATACATATTTTGGTAATTTAGATTTTTTTTGTCATCTTAAAAATATATATGTATAAATAATATAAAACAAACTGCAACAATTAGTTCAGCCGCAACGTGTCAAAAAAACCTCAAAATGTCAAACACACAAAAATACTCATGTCGAAAATGTTGCATGTTTATTTAACTAACGTGTGATAATTAAAAATTGTGTCAAATCCACTATCAAATATTGTTTTATTACACCCTACACTATCATGGTAGGTAGGGTACAGTGCGTTTGTGCTGATGTCCGCTATTGAATACAGTTTTTAATCACTTCATGATACAGAGTCGAATAAAATTCACCAAAAATATATGTATTTGAATGTAATCCACAGTTGTGGATCGGTTTATATTTGAACTTAACTCCCACATGTGTAAATCCATGTTTCGGAAATCACCTTAAACCTCACTAATCCCTTAGAAGTGTTGGTAAACAAATAAAATACAATATTACGGAAATTTTTATGATCGACCTATTATCGGTCGAAACTGCCTTATAATCGATTCATAATTGCATATGACATATAGGCCTTTTTAATATCGCTGTAGGGTTTCATTACTTTAATGCATAAAATTTTAAATTTAATTTTTAAAATAATTTAATTGTTTAATATTTTTATAACCACAGAGATGGCAGATTTATTGTGTCAACAAAATTGTTATTTATAGAATAATTTCTTTATTATAGTAACGAATATTATATTAAGACAATAACAATGTGGTATAACCGCAAACCTTAACTCTTAAGTTTTTCAAGTTTACTTAATATACAAGACATTACTCTCATTGTTGAATTGATAATTTCCAAATCATTAATTACAATGCATAGTGGAGCAGAATTAAACATTTTAAGAAATAAATTAGTAATTTCTAACCCAGATCGGGTTAACGTAGCCCTTTGAAGATGGATTCCTCAAATGCAACAGGGGTTGCGCTTTCAGATTTCAAAGTAGGACATCATAAACATCTAAACTTTAATTTTAGTTATAATCATACCCTATACCACTTTAGGGTATATTAGGTTTGAGCTTATGTTTGTAACGTACAACAATACTGGTCTTATACGCACCTTTAAGTATACCAATCGGCTTACAGTTGTTTTCTGAGTCGATTAAAGTATGTCCGTCCGTCTGACTGTCCGTCCATGTAAACCTTGTAATCAAATTACAAATCGCAATTTTGAAAAAATTTGGTATGTGATCAACTATTATATCAGGGACGAAGCCTATTAAAAATGGTTAATATCGGTCTATTATTTTACCTAGTACCCATACAACTGAACCCCCCAGGTAGGAGATCATAATTATGTTTAATATACTCGTATCTCGACAAAAAGCGGTACAACTAAGTTTTATACTACTACTATTTATACACAATGGAATTCAGCATAAACACAGTTCATGTAAATTCATTCTCCAGATTTAATGAAGATCGTCTCATATGTATATCGGATACGAGGTATAAATGCCACAATGGAATTCAGCATAAATACAGTTGATGTAAATTCATTCTCCAGATTTAATGAAGATCGTCTCATATGTATATCGTCTCATATGTATATCAACCTAGAGTTGCCCATTATAAAATTTTATGTAATTTTAAATGCCGTTCGCTGTGCTAAATCAAAAGATTTTAGGAAATCATATGCCAATTTGGTACCATATGATGGCACTTAAGTTACCCTAACAGAAATCTCGTAGGTCGATTTTTTTTTTTTTAAATTCAAACTAGTTTAATTAGATACCATATTTTTCTGATAATTGAAATTAAACATTTAAGACAAAAGTTTAAGAAAATAAAAAACATAAAATAACATGTATTTACAAAGAGAATTTGACAAAGCCTGTAAAAACTCGGCAATGACTTGTACTTAGACAACAACATACTTTGTAGTATAAGTACTCCAATAATGCCTTACATATAATCAGATACTTAAGTACTTATTATAAGTTTTGTATTTTTTTTGATAGCACACTAGAAATTATTTTTTACACACACACACACAATAAAAATAGTATTTCTGTAACTACACGCAGAAAAAACATGGTTCATGGTTCTTCTAGATGGATAATGTAGTTATGTATGATGTTTAGCTAACTTCCCAAGAAAAAAGCTAATAAAACCTCTTTTCTTTAGCATTTTAACTCAGTATATTAACACGGTGGTGTCATTGGAGACAAGTACTTACCGCATCGCTTACAAAATAGGGAGTTAAAGAAGTACTTGTTGAGGAAGCTGTTTTGTTTTTAATAATAAAAAGAGCCAGCGAGTATACAAGCCAAGTCTGTTTGTTAGTCAAATATTCCACTCACTGCACCACTGTTTAGCTATTTTATTGCGCGTCAAATAATGGTTTTTACATACAAATTTAATTTTCTTCTAAGTAATGCAAACGGCAAGTAGTTGTCATTGAAAAGTATGTTGTTTAGTAAGTACAAGTCATTTCCAGATTTTTGCTGGGTTTATATACAAAATACATATGTATTTTTATCCTCTAATATCTATTTAGGTTTTCAGTATTATTTTTCAGAAAAAATTTTGAAGGCATTTTTTACATATTTTGATCCTGGCAGAATAAAACAAAAATGGCACAAAATATTTCCCAACTCTTCTTGTTATTTTGACATCAAATTTTGCAAAGTAGGCTAAGCAGAAGTATTTATAATTTTTTTTAAAGTCCTTTTACAAGGAAACAGGATCACGAAATAAAAAACTGTGAAAGCAGTTTAGCATCATTTAATCTTTAGTTTCAGACTTATATCATCTGGTTCATATCTAATTTTGAGTGTCGGACGGTGTTATATGTACACTTTTTTCAGTATTTTTATCTTGTACACATGCGTGAAGATAACACAACTTTTTTTTATTTCAATAATTTCATACATTTTTTGTTGTATATCCACAAAAATGGCATATACATTAAGATAACACATTAAATTTTTAAGAAAAGTGGATATACAATAAAATAGCTACTGAATATCTCGTAAACCACAAGAGATAGAAACCTGTGGATTGATTATATCGATAGATCTTCAAATTTTACCCCAAAAAAATATCATAACTCATTTTTTGGATTTTGTGATATACGTGAAGATAATTCCGGAACGACGAGATGTCTCACAATATTATTATTGTTTTACAATGATTTCTCTGACAGACGTGTATCTTATGTTCTTGGTAAAAATATATTTTTAGTAAGTGTAAACATTTGTATGTTCATGACAATTATAAATTTTAATGTGATTCACTGAATCATAATTTTGGTTCATACAAGTCAGCTAAGATTGTTAAAGAATTTTTCTTATGGACCGATCCACAAGACATATGGTAGAGAAGTTTTAACTCGTATAAAAAATATGTATGTGTGTCGAATTTCATCGCATTTCTGTATTCTGTCTTTTTAAGCCAGTAATTATCGTTTAAGTAATTTTTTGAATGGCGTCTTATATGGGGTCAATTATAGACCGATCCACATAAAGTTTGATAGAGAGATTTTTGCATCATTGAAACTTATGTGTGTCGAATTTCATCACTATACTCGTATTTTTAAGCCAGTAATGAGCGTTAAAGTCATATTATGAAGGGGACCTTATATGGGGGGTAGGGTCAATTATGGACCGATCCTCATAAAATTTGGTAGGGAGATTTTGGATTATATGAAACTTATGTGTGTTAAATTTTATCACTATACTCGTACTTTTAAGCCAGTAATTAGCGTTAAAGTAATTTTCTGAAGAGGACCTTATATGGGGGCTAGGGTCAATTATGGACCGATCCTCATAAAATTTGGTAGGAAGATTTTGGATCAAATAAAAGTTATTTATGTCAAATTTCACTATATTCGTACTTTTGAAACAAATACGCCCATTAAAGCTGTTTTTCGGGGGTCCACTTGTATGGGGGCTATCCGAAACTAACCTATAGAGAATATTTGTGGAAAATGTTAATCCTCTATCTCGTTCCGTTCGGACTATATCTTGCTTTCAACAGACAGACGGATAGACAGACATGGCTAGATCTTCTTAGAATTTAATAAG